ACTTCCAGCCTCCATAATTAGCCCTCACTGATTAACATAAAACAGGTCAGGGTGCTTTGCTCAGTTGAAAATATGAGAAAATTCACTACAACCAATGTGGTCAGCAGTATGTGCATAAGTGTACTTTGCTTCCAGCCCTCCATAATTAGCCCTCACTGATTAACATAAAACAGGTCAGGGTGCTTTGCTCAGTTGAAAATATGAGAAAATTCACTACAACCAATGTGGTCAGCACATCCAGACAGTGAATCTATTAGCTGAGTTCTAATCTATTAGTGAAGCTGCTATTTGGAGACAGCAACTTAACACTCTTAAATGTAACGTTGTATTAGGCCTAACCTTATGTAACTTACCGTCAGGTCAAACAATGGATAGGCATATTAGGCCTAGGTGTCAGGTTGGTTTCATTCAGGTTCATCCTTAAACCTTTCACTCAGCCCAATATTAAGCTGAGGGTAAGGCATAGGCCTAGCAGCCTACTCTCCGTGGGTCGGCTTACTCTCCGCAACAACGATGTGCGGACAGTCGATGGGACTACTTTCCGCGCGGACGGTTAACCAACCGCGCCTGGCCAACTTTCAGCTGAACAGGTATCAGGTAATTCACAACATAAGGAAGACTAGGCCTATTAAATACGAAGTCTTACCAAAGCAAGTAATATGAACACTTACCCAGTCTCAGGAATCGAGGATTGGGAAGAAGACCATCTGTTTCAAGCCAGTAGGGAGTTGATAATGCCAAAAGTAACATCACCAAACTGAAGGCAAGCCCCACTAGAGTTAAGGTTCTCAAAACTATTAACTTTCTCATCTTTCTAATAGTTTGACACCTAGAAATCAAAGTAGGTTTCAAATTATCAAACCAGAATAATGCTTAGATAAGACTTATAACTTTCCCAGGCATTTCAAAGAACAGATGAAGATAATTCTTCCTCTTTTCACTTGTTTCTTTAACACTTCATAGTGCAAGAACTTGTCAAGTTGGTCAACCATAAGTTTGAATTGGGTATTGTATACACCCACCAACCAATCCACTGTATCAGTCAAGAAGCTGCCCACCTTGATGATGACCCTCTGTTGTGTCTTGAGTTTCATTAAGTTGGCATGACAGTTATGGTATGAAAATGGGTCCTTTGATTCAAACAGATAAGTTAGTATTGTGTATCTGTAAGTATATGCTAATATTGCCTGATAATGGATTTCAGATACTTTGCTCCTCAAATATTAGACAATGACAAACCTAAATATTTACCATTAATCAGCGTTTGGATGATAGTGTTTTCTGAGTAATCTTGCAGTACCTTTCAAGGGAATTGATCTGGGACTTCTCTCCTGCAGTCTGATCCAGTGCCCACTACAATTTCATGAAGTATTGCAGTGTTTTTCACTTGACTCAGACACGAACAACATCCCATGCACAGGTGTCCAAGTAAAGTGAACGATTGTCTGACTCAAGTGAAAAACTCTGCAACGACTAACCTGCTGCTTTGCTCCCAATGCTAGTCAAACATTGTTTACCCTATCAAAGAACCTGCAAACCTCATCACATTTGCAGCATCTGCGAGACTTACTACGTCTGCGTACTGAATGACAGAGAGGGTGTTGAACTCCTCCTGTCCTGAATGGGACGGGGCTGTTACAGGACGGGCCCTGATAGAATCTATATGGCTGAGTAGGCCTAACGTTAAGGCATAACATTGAGTCAATCATAAGCTATCCGAGACCTAAGCCTGGCGGTAAATCGAGGTCGTTGCACATTTAATAGACCTACTTAGGCTGGACGAACAAAAGCCTACCAATTGTTTGGCCTAACAATGAATAGTTAGACAATGAACCTATCTTTCTTTTGAAAACTGAGTCCGGGTAAACTGCGGAACAGCGGGATTGGGGAACGCGGACTGCGGAATTATCAGAGAAGGTAAAATGTGGTGTGGCAAATTGCAGAACAAAGGTGTAAAATGCGAGATGACAGTGGAAAATACTGAAAATATATGTTCTAGAGTGCAGAATCGAATGTGACTGATCTGTGACCAATGTTACCTTCGATTTCTCATCTCTTGCCCATGGACCAAGGATATGAGCAACAATTGAAGGACCAGGCCAACTGCGGAGTTGCAATCATACAAATATACAAGTTTTCAATTGAAACACCCCTTCTCTACGACACCATAAGTCGTTTGTCATCCGTCTTTTGATGATTGACCATGGGGGGGAATCAGGAACTTCAGCAAGACTGGTGCAGGAAGACGTTGGGAATGGGCCCAACGAGAGAAGGCAGCGAAATCTGTTGCAGTCCTGAAATTAGTCTTCCCGCTTCCGCAAACGTAGGTCAGGTGTATTTCATCGAAAATCACTGAAACTCGAAGACTCACGCTTCATCTGAAGGGAATATGTATTATCAGCTAGCGTCTTTAAATCCAACGAGAGCATGCTACACCTGGACTGAAGTCACTCATAGTGTTTGGATGAATCTTCTCACGCGGAAATTGAGAAGTTTTCTTGTTGATGGCAGAGGGTGCCAATAGTAGATGCACCTCCCCCCCCCCCGCCCCCCCCCCCCCCCCCCGCCCGCCCCCCCCCCCC